TCTCATCCTTAGCCATTCACTGTTTCTTCCTCTGGGAATCCTTGTGTAAAGATTCTAAGTTCTCATGACAATTGTCAAGGAACAAAGAAGTCATAGGTAGCAGATATTCATAGAAGTTGGGGTTAGCTTTCCTGCATCAAAATTCTTGAAAATGTGTCCACCAGATTACCCAAAGGATGTAACCTGCCTTAAACATCTGCCAACGTCCATCACCTGCAAAGAGGATGCTTTCTGTGAAAAAAAAATGTCCCCCCCATTTCCGTGGTAACTCTGATCTGCCCATATATTAGGTGAGACCCATAATCACACCATGGGTTTGTCCAAAATGTGTGCCTCATCCACCTGACCCATCGCCTTCTCTTGACCTGGGTCACTGTCTTGGGCCAGTCATGTGTACTTGCCATGCCTTTTTTGAGCAATGCTCTACTAGCAGAGTGGTTTTAAACTGCAGAGTGCATCCAAATCACCTGGACAGCTGTTGAAAATGCAGGTTCCTGGACCTCACACTATACCATGAAGCCAGATGCCCTAAGATGTTGAACCATACTCAAAGAAACACGCTTCTGCACCTAAGTTCCATGGGGATGGGAACTGTGTTGGTCTTGCTCACCGCTTATTCCCTGCACTGGCCTAATGCCTGGCTCATGATAGGTCCTCAATAAATGTCTGGTCAATGAAGAAATTAAGAAAGGTTGAGGAGTGATGGGTAGCACAGTGGCTTCAGTGGCTAAGGAGACTTCTTAGATGGAGGAATTCCTATTACCGTGAGGGATGAGTTGTAAACAGTTTCTTTGAAGTTGTGTGTGTGTGTGTTTTGAATTATCAATAAAAATCATTGCTTTTCTTTAAAGTATGAAAAGTACTACACTGGGATGTATAGTTCCATTATAATATATTCTTTTTTAAAAGTATTTTATCTATTTATTTGAGACAGAGAGAGAGAGAGAGAGATAGCACAAGTGGGGAGGAGGGTTAGCAGGAGAGGGAGAAGCAGACTCCCCACTGAGCAGGGAACCTGACGTGGGGCTTGATCCCAGGACCCCAAGATCACAACCTGAGTTGAAGGCAGACACTTAACAAGCTGAGCCATGAGGTGCCCCCTTTATAATATATTCTTATCCTTCCTCCCTCTCCCCTCTTTCCCTTCCTTCCTTCCATCCATCTATCTTTATGTATAAAGGGAAGTCTAGAGGGTGCCTGGGCGGCTCAGTCAGTTAAGCATCCAACTCTTGGTTTCAGCTCAGGTCGTGATCTCAGGATCATGAGATTGAGCCCTGCGTTGGGCTCCATGCTTAGTGTGGAGTTTGCTTGAGATTCTTCCCCCACATCCCCACCTGCTCCTCCCCCTGCTCATGCTCTCTCTCTTTCTCTCAAATAGATAAATAAAATCTTTAAAAAGAGAGAGAGAGAGAGAGGTCTAGGAAAATGTTCATTTAGTGTTCAATTTTTAAGTGGTGAGATTTTAGGTAACTTAAAATTTCTTTTTGTATTACATGAAATTCTGTGGTTTTTGTAATAATTTATCAAGACAAAATAAAGTAAAAAATCATTTAGACTTTAAAAAATACATGCTCTTTGACAGATTGTTTGGAAAAGAAATTAGGGTCCATTAGCACATCTGGTCTCAAAACCTGCCAAAGATGGGAGAGAAGACAGTAGGCATCAGCTCTGGTTGCCAAAGTCTGCTTCTTCTTTTAGAATTCTCCCGTGCAGGCCCCTGACCTATATCTCAGACCACACCTCCATTGTTCTTCAAAGTTCCCTTCTCTGAACCCAACATCCCAGACCCACTTGGAAACTCTCTATACCTTGAACTCATGGGCTGGATACTTTAGGCCACAATAGTGTGGGCAGTTTGCCTGGGATTCGGGGCAGGAGTGAAAGCCACTGCACTGAAGGGTATGCCCCGAGCTCACTTGAAGGTCTTTGGGTCTCTGGCATTGGGGTCTGTCTATGCAATGAAAGGAAAAGAGGAAGAAAGAGGTCATGTTTTTAAATAGCTCAAATCATCCTTGTGGGAGCTTTTCTGGGGATTTGTCCCTTTGTGCAGGGAATAGAGGCCAAATGCATATACTCTTTAGGGAAGAGCTGACCCCAGTTGGATATCTCAGCTTGTGTCCCATCTGACCCCAGACCAACTTTTCATTTTACTCTTTTCAACCCTGTTGCATAAAATCTCAAGCTCTGCCTTTAATTTTCGTGACTGGTTTCCAAATATACTTTTCTTGAAAAAAAGTTCCGCTTAGTGCTCCCATTGAGTGATCACCCACCTGATATTGCCAGAGCTAGATCCCCACTCCTTTCGCATGAAATGTCTCTCCCTTCTCCTACTCTGGCACACTCAGTACTATGAATTAACCAGACCCACTTCTCTACTCTTCTGGGCATACAGGAGAACTACATTTCCCAGCTTCCTTTGCAGTTAAGTGGAGCCATGACTTTCTGGCTAGCGTAATGTGGATAACAGTGATGTAAGGCAATTTTTGACTAGGCCTGAAAGCCTCTTGAGAGGTCTATGTCTTCACTGTACAGAGCTTGAGAGGCTCTGTGTCTTCATTGTGCAGAGGGAGAGGATCCAGTGAAAATGCAGAAGAAGGGTTCTGAGGTCCTAGGGAACCGCAGAACCCATTAAATCATGTAGCCTGGGAACCTAGGTCACTCTGTGAAGAAGTAAACTATGCAGGGAATAAACTTTTATTGTGTTTTCTGTTTATGTTTAGAGGATTTTTGTTCTTGTAGAAAAATATAGCCAACTCTAACCAAAACCCCTACTTATGCTTCAAACCCACTTAAAACATTCCCATCTCTGTCTAGATCGCCTGAGTATCACAGATGGAGTTAGTCTAGATTGATGTCTTCCTCTGAAATGTTCTTATCATAGTGATTATAAAACATTTTCTCACATCCCTTCCTTTCCCACTAGACTGGAAGCATTTCAAGATCAGAGCTTTGTCTTATTCATCTTTGTAAACTTATCGCTGACCACTGTATCTGGAATATTCTAGGATCTCCTGGGAGATGGTGGAACCTGCATTGTACTAAGGTCTGTTTGACCAAATTTTGTGTTCTTGTATATTGTCCTTCTCAGACAGAGCTAGAGGGGAAAGAACCCAATGTTTATGGGAGCTGAAGTGCAGTTCCAAGTCTCAGTAGTCCTCTTCTGGGTAGTAAGCAGGTCTGAGGTCCTCAGGGAAATACTTGTATTTTCTTCCTCCTGCAACCACCCATGAACATGGCTACAGACAGCTGCCCAAAGATGGCCAAGGAGAGGGACCGCCATTAGAAGGCATGTCTCAGCTTTCCAGAGAAGATGGTAAGAACCCTCTGAAAAAGATGAGGATGTCCCCAGATACCTATTTGGTGAAGTGATAGTGATCCCCATTTCTGCCCCAAGACAGATACCAAGAAGTCAGGGCAGAGAGTCCCCTTCCAGATATTGTCTGTTCAAGAATGAAGTGCCTTTTTAAGCAGACTAGAGGAGAAGAAACTTGCCCAGCCGAAGAGCTAAGAGAGGGCACATGGCAGCGGCCCAGGAGGACCCTTTTCATGTTGTTCTATCTTCACTCTTCTGGGAAATGCATTGCATGACTTTCTTGGGGTGGAGGGCTCCAAAGTACAAATGTGCACCCACAGCAGTTTCCAAGATGTGCTTTTCTCCCTTTTTACTGTAACTCAAGAAAGTCAATGCATTTAGAAACTAGAGTGGTTTTCTTCAGACGTTCAAGTTACATTTTTACTTCCTCAGTTCAGCTCTCAAACTCCTAATCCTAGTTGACCAAGAACTTGTGAAAAAAAAAATGGAGAAGGAATATCCTGAATCATTTACCTAGAACTTGGACTGGGTGTAAACAGGTCAAAGGTCAATGTAACTTCTAATCAGAAAGATGTGGGAATACCAGAATGCTGTCCTACATGGCCGTGAAGTTCACAGATGCCAAGACTGGCTTGATGGTGTATGCAGACCGGGGTCGCCCATGAAAATTTGCAGTAAATACTGCAAGGTCAGTCTCCAGATGACACTATGTAAACTCATGCAATGTCTTATTTTCTGTTTTAGGAAAAGGGTAGACAGTTTGTGTGTTAGTTGCTATTCATTCATTTCACAGCTGTTTACTAAGTGCTCACCATAAGCTGGCCACAAAGATTTGGGTCCTACTCATAAGGAGCTCAAATTATCCAATTCAATCCAGTTTTCTCTAGAAAGTTATTCGCTGAGTCTACTTCATGTTTTAAATGGACTTTTGATACACAGAGGTTATCAATGTAAGTCGCTGGAACTTGGACCAAATATTTTTACCCTGGAAGTGGCCAGAAAGCATGGCTTGAAGGTAGAAGAGGGAAGGAAGGGTGTTCTTGCCAAGAAAGGGTGTTTGCTAGCAGGTTTAGGTGAGGGCTGGGAATCCCAGGACATTAGGAAGTAAGTACATTTTGAGCAATCCCCCAGCTACTGTGTTTTCTGAGGAGGGTTCTGAAGAACATGAGCTAGCAATATGCTTTGAGTAAAAGTGTTCTGTGGTCAGACATGTTTGGAAAATTTTGTGTATCATGTCAAGATGTTTGTAAACATCCTCATGTGACAAAATAAGGACTCTAGGAAGTTTTACAGGAAAGAGAACAAATCATGTTTTTCCCACCCCCAACCCCAGGCATCCCAGACTTATTTTACAATATGTTATTTTGTCACTTAATACCAATCCACATTTCACGAATATGGCATTTTTCTCATCTTCTCATCATATATTATAAAACACTAAAGCAGTTTAACCCACAACATCATTCTACCCAAAGAGAGTTTTTAGTAGTCAAATACACATTTCACAATTATTTTTATTAATGTACATAGTTGCTTAGGGCCATAAATCATTCCTGTGGATATATTATGATTATCATAAGATAATATGTTAGGTTGTGTTACATTACAAAGTATATCATATGTACCATATCGAGCCATATGATCACATGTGTAATGGGTTTAAAGTATTTGTTATTTTAACAGCTCACACCAGCACGGTGCTTAGAAAGGGAGGGGATCTGGAAAAGACTTTTGTTGAGAAGATGAGACCCAAATATATATATCATCAGGCACAACAGTCATCAAAGAAAGGAAGAGATCAATAATTTGGTTTGGGAAGAGAGAAGAAGGAAAGAAATCTGTCAAGATAAGAAATACGCCAAGCAATAAGGCATAAGGTAAGAGCCTGATGTTTAGGTTTTAGAATTTTAGTAATTTTTAGGAACTTGACCAATTCAAAATCAACTTCAAGCTGTTTGTGTTGCTATCATGTAAATCTCTCCATCTTCCCCAAATTACCAGCAAGGATTTCTATACACTCACACACTTTGCACTGTTTAATTAGATGGAAATTTAAAATAGTCGTGTGGGTCGATGCAGAACGAGCGGGGTACAGCCCTAAGGGGATGGGGGTACCCCAAACTGAAGCATTCAGTGAGAATGGGAACCCAGAGGTCTCTAGGGAAGCTGTGGGGTTTTCACAGAGCTCTGGGTGTACAATGGGGGTTTGATCATTTTTATCTATCTCTTATGGAGCTGGAAATCCACATCTGGTGTGTGTGTGTGTGTATAAAGTGATGGGTAGAGAGAGAGAGAGAGATACAGGGGAATAGAGATAAAGATATGGAGATGGAGGTCTGTATGTCACCTTCAGAATCTTAATTTTCTATTATAAATGTTTCATAGCTTGGAAAATTTATAAAAAGTGGTTTTGTCAGATACCCATGCACAGGCCAGCAGTAGATGAGAAGGCAGTAGGCTTTGGGAACCAATCTGTAGAAGCCCCAGCAGCTGGCTGCAAGTCTGTGGCCAGAGTGAAAGGGGAAGGAGAACCAGGCTGTCTTTTCTAGTTTTGGAATTCCCTCAAGGCTCAGGTATAACAGCAAAGTCCTATTCTGGGAACAGAAAGGCAAATAAATGTTCACAGACAGGTTTAGGGGGAAGCGACTAAAGAATACAGAGATAGAAGGAGGCAAGGGGCTGGGGTTTAGTGTGAAGGGATTGCAAAGAGTTAAGCAATGATCTTAGGTTGCATAAAACAAGGTCTGCTGTCTAGAATGGAGGAGGTGACAGTCCCTTTTTGCTCTGGGCTGGCCAGTCTACCTCCTTTCTGGATTTGTGCTTCTTTTTGGGGCTTGGCCACCAGTAGTTTCCAGTGACCTTAGTGAAGTGAAAATCTGATCATGTCAGTCCCTCCTTTAAAACCATTTAATATGTACCCCTATGTTTATTGCAGCAATATTTACAATAGCCAAGATATGGAAGAGACCTAAGTGTCCATCAATAGAAAAATGGATAAAGAAGATGTGGTACACACACACACACAAGAAAATTACAGTCATAAAAAGGATGAATCTTGCCATTTGTGACAACATGGGTGGACAGAGAGAGTATTACGCTAAGTAAAGTAAGTCAGACTGAGAAAGACAAATACCATAGGATTTCACTCATATGTGGAATCTAAAAAACAAAGCAAATGAATAGACAAACAAAAAGCAGTATCAGACCTATAAATACAGAGAATGAACTTAGGATTGCCAGAGGGGAAAGAGGCAGAGGGATGGGCAAAATGAGGGCAGAGGAGTGGGAAATACAGGCTTCCAGTTATGGAATGAACGAGTCATGGGAATAAAAGGCACAGCGTAGGGAATATAGCCGGTGGTATTGTACTAACGCTGTATGGGGACAGACGGTGGCTACCCTCGTGGTGAGCAGAGCATATTACACAGAGTTGCTGAATCACAACATTTACGCCTGAAACTAATGTAACACTGTGTGTCAACTATACTTACATTTAAAAAAATTTTAAAAACCCCATTTGATGGCTTCCCATTGCACTGAGAAGAAAATATGCCCTCTCCCCCCTAGCTTATAAGACCCCTCATGATCTTTCCTTCTGCAGTTCATTTCCACGTAACGGTTTGCCTAAAATGTTCTCCCTCTCTCACTTCCTCTCATGGCCCAGTCGACTTCTGTTCATCTGTTATATCTTAGATCGGATGCCACTTTTTCAGGTAAGCTTTCCTTGACCTCCAAGATCAAGTGATGCAATCCATTCTCATTCCACCTGCCTGTTCCCTTCCTGGTATTTAATTCCCAGCAGAGGACCCCCCCTCTCTGCACTGGTGCGTGGTCTGAAGAATCCTGGTGGGAAGTCCTTCAGCCTAAAGAAAGGCAGGGGGATTTCAGCAACATCCACCCAGATGGCCTTTCTCCCTATCTTGGGAGGGCAGCAGGTTGGAATGAAACCAAGGAGGATATTATCAGCCTCTGAAGTTGAGTGGAGTGTTATCTGATCCTCAAAACCAGTGGTCTTTAACCTGAAGTATATATACCTCTGAAGGTTTATAAAATAAATATTTTCCCAAAAGATACATAAACAAATTTGTTTTTGGATCATCAACTGCCATATGAATTCTTCTAATATTTGTCTAACTGAGAAGGCTCCTTGAATTTCTCCTTTTTATGTCATAATCTCCTGTTTCTCATGAAAAATGAAAAAAGTACCTTTTATCCATTGAGATTCTTATTATGGTGCATTGCACTCACATGAAAAACTTCCAGGGCACTAAATAAAGGGATAAATCAAAACGTTAAAAATATTTTATTATGCTAGATGATTGTGTGATAACTCAGTTCTAATAATAACTTGAGTAGCAATGGTTAAAAAAAAAAAAGCTTCCGTTTCTATATACTTGTTTCTGTGGACAAATTTTCTAAGCATTTAATGTCTATAAAGACAGATAAACAAACAAACAAAAGGAATAGAATCAATACTGAATCCTCTTTCTTTCATGTAATTAGTCATAATCATCCCCAGAAACATAAACAGCTTCATGGATCCATCTCATTAAAAGATGCATTTCCAATACGATTGTATTATTTCTGCTTAATAAATATTTATCAAAATTTGTAATGTATCCATCTTGTTATAATGCATGGCTTGGTAATAATAAAAATGGTATCTCCATATAGAAGACATACTTTTCAGTACTTAGAACTGTATAGCCCTAGGAATTACAAACAAAATTTAAAAGTCAATTTATGTACATATTTTTGTAGCGGATAAATATGATCAATAAGGGATTTTCAAGCATCAGAGTATATTACAGGAGCTTAAAGTTCTGTGGGGGAAGTGAAATGAAACTATTAGTTCTTGGAGAAAAAGAAAAATGTAAACTGTTACACAAGAGCTTGTTCATCTTTTTAAATAGATGAAGGTAGTTATGAAATTGCTATGATTTTTTTTTAGAGTCTATGGGCTACTTTTTACAGTTTTGTCTTAAAAAGGTCAATATTCACAATATACCAGAAAAGGTTCCCTTTGCAAGGAAGGACCAGACTTCGCAAAGTCTTTTGGTGAGTGAGCAAGCAGCAAGCTTGAAGATCACTGCTCTAAGGCGCTGTTCCTGGCCGCTGTAAGGGCAGCCCGGCTCTGCCCGTTGACATGATCTCCACTGATCATTTGCACACTGTGGAGTATCTTCCTTTAGGCTTGAGTCCGAGGTTCCTCCTTATGGAACATTTCCCTGCCCACCCCCCACCCGCGCCGGCCAGACCTGGTGAGGTTCTCCCAATAAACACTCTCAGTGACCCCAGGCTGCTTTCCCAGATTATTTCTTATGATTCATAATTATACATTAGAAAAGACCAGACCGAAATTCAGAGGTACCACCTTACTGTAAGCTCTGTGAGGACAGGGCCTTGCCTGCTTATGCTCATCTTCTTTTCTCTACATAGGTCTAGCCCGGGGCTTGGAGCTTCATAGAAGCTTGGGGATTATTTGTTGAATGAATGGGTGAGCTAAACAAAGGGAAAGCCTTTAAAAAGCGAGTCCTCCAGGAATAGCAAAACTTCCGGGTTATTTGTATGTACATATGCCTCACTTACTGTTTGTTACCTTATTTGCAAGATTAACTGTGCACTTCTGTGCCTGTGTGTTTGGCGATGTAACTTGCACATGGAGGGGCAGGAAAGAGTTAAAAATTTTACTCAGTGGGACTGGGAGTGATCATGGCTCCTGGTGGCAGGCAGACATTTTTTTTTTAAAAGATTTTATTTATTTATTTGACCGAGAGAGAGAGAGAGAGAGAGAGAGAGAGAGAGAGCAAGCACAAGCAGGGGGAGCGGCAGGCAGAGGGAGAGGGAGAAGCAGGCTTCCCGCTGAGCAAGGAGCCCGACGTGGGGCTCGATTCCAGGACCTTGGGATCATGACCTGAGCCGAAGGCAGCTGCTTGACCAACTGAGCCACCCAGGTGCCCCGGCATGCAGACTTTTGATGTCACTTTAGCTACCCTGGTGTTGTCTTGTTTAAGACTAAGAGAACACCTCTGGAAAAGAAAGTGTTGGGGTGTTGGGGGCCTGGGGTGAGGGATCCTTCTAGGTACACCCTCCTAGGAAAGTCTTCTCTCCTCCCGAATCTAGGAGTCTGTTGATGATTTCTTCCATGGTCACAGGCACTGGGGCTAAAACAAGAGCTTTGGAATTGTTCCAAATTGTGCAAGCACAAAGTACAGAAATTGCAAAAAAAAAATGCAAATAATAAAATGGGACAAAAACACATGGAGAGATAGAAGCTTCTCCGTTGTGGCAGTGAGCATGTCTGCCTTTTAGTGTGGCTCCCTCTGTCTCCGAGTTTAGGGAAGCCAAATGGACAAGAGGGCTCATTTGAGCACTGACTTGCAGCAAAGTTGGCTTGGGGTGCTCCAGAGAAAAACTGCGTTAAAACAAAACTACTCAAAAGAAGGTGAAGTGCTAGTGACCAGAAGAAAGACGTCCGAGCATGATTTAGTGAAACCCATGCTTGAACCCTGACTTTGCAATAACCAGCTGTGTAACTCTGGCAAATGACTTACGTTCTCTGAGTTTCAGCTTCCTCATTAGTAAAATGGGATTTCACAACACTCCTTGAATAAGAGAATGGAGATGAAAGTTTTCGCTTCATGAGGGGTTGTCCAGTAAGTGTCAAAACAGTTGAAAAATAGGGATTTCTAGAATAAGACTGGTACCTGGACACCCATGTGCTGAGTTTAGAGAGTTGGCTAAATAGGATAAACCTCGGGTCCAACCGTGGCTTGGACATGTGTGTACTTAATAAACATACATAAGTCTCTGGGTCTAGGATGGGGTTCTCAACCTTGACACTTATTGACATTTGGAAAACTCTGTTGTGAGTAGT